AAGCCAGGTGGAGAAAGACAAGTATCAAATGATTTCACTCATCTGTGATGTATAACAACAAAGAAAAAACTGAAGGAACAAAAGAGCAGCAGGCTCACAGAACCCAAGAATGGACTAACAGTTACCAAAGGGAAAGAGACTGGGGAGGATGGGCGGGAAGGGAGGCATAAAGGGGAAAATGGAGCATTACGATTAGCACACATAATGTAGGAGGGTGGGGACATGGGGAAGTAATGATTCTATAGCATCTTACTATGCTGACGGACAGTGACTGTAATGGGGTATGTGGGGGGGACTTGATAATAGGGGGAATCTGGTAACCAGAATGTTCAAGTAATTGTACATTAACAATATCAAAATAAAAAAATAATAACTACCTTGAAGCTCTACTTAACAGTACAGAGGAACAAAAAAGTCTAAACTATACTCTAAGTAAGAGTTTATTGTTTGGTAACATCCATCCCACTAAATTCTAAATGCCTTGAGGACAGAGACTCTTCACTTATAGTACCAAAACAAACTTAATCATTTAATAAGTTCATGTCATAGTATAGACAGCTTTTCAGCACAATGCAACACTTCTTTATACCATTTCTGAAAACCAATCATCTCAATTCCATTGTAACAGTCATAGTGAAGGCATGATGACCAGTTCACTATCACAGTCTATCCCAGTTTTGAATAGGTAGGAATTATATGGAGGTTGGGGAAGAGTTGTTGTTTTCCTGCATCTAAAATCCCTTCCCATGCTTGGTGGATCCACTATTCTGTGTGAGGAGGCAAAAAAATCCCATCACTTATTACATAAACTGAAAATCACAGATAATGCTTTTCTCCCCTGACTTGTGGTATTTAGCACATGGTACTTGGACCTCATCTGGGCATGTGCATCTGTATCTGGAATTGTGAATCTTGAACAAGTTATCCAAACAAGCAAGAACCATCTAGAATTCATCTCACTTGTGACATCTAGGATCCAGTGGTGTTAGTGGCAGCACCCTATCCAGAGAGTCCCTAAAGAATGACCTCAATTATGATACGGGTAGTTTCTATGATTTTGCTAATGCTATCCCCTCCCCTCGAATGCATTCCTCCTTAGCTCTGCCATCCTTCAGCCCTGCTGAAGCCCCATCTACACTGTACAACATTAAAGGAACACCCAGACAAAACTGACCAATCCCCTCACACAACTCCTTTGGTAGGGTGTATACCATTCATGTGGCACTTACATATACCCCTGTAGTTATTTACATTTTTAAAAATAACATACTCTATTGTCAGCATCTTTCAGACAGGAGTGGAGATTACCATATTTCTGAATTCCTTCCACTATGCCTAGTACATTGTTGCCGCTCAGTTAATAGTTAAAAAATTTTTTTAAATTAGATTTGGGAAAAACATTAATGAATGTAGGTCTATCTTCTCATGGACAAAAGGAGCAAAATTAAGTTCAGATGCAGTTTATATTACCTAATTTTAGCCAGTCATGATTGGTCTAGGTTTTCACCTTTCTGATTCCTGAGTTGAAGAATCTTCGTTAAATGGTAGGGAAAATGAAATTTCATTTATTGAAGAACATGGTGGGGGGACTCCAAATGCATCTGCTAGCTATATTGTGAGCAACTTGAAGGCATCATTGCTGCCAGTCTTCTAACTCAGATCAGTTCTTTATAGGCTGGGCTCCCTGAATAAGAAAAGGAAGTCTGCAAAGGAAATTGAGAAAAGGAAGGCAAAAACCTAAACCTAGACTCAATGAGAGTGATCAACTTTGTCATAATACAGAGAAGTAAGGACTAAATAATGAATTTTGCAAGATATAACTCACAGGTGATGTTGAGAAGAGTCATTCACTTGACTGGTGGGGACCAAAACCTGAAGTAGGAAAAGCATTAGAATAAAAGTCAAGTAAATGAAAATAGTGGATCTAAATCTTCTTTTTTCTCAAATTGGGGCCATTTGAGCAAAAACTAAATAGTTCAGGGGTATCCCTAGCTTCAAGAAGAGCTTAAGGTAGGGCTGAATTTGATCAGGACTCTTTTTTCTCCCTCTCTTTCTATCAGCTCTGCTTTTGATTCTACATAAAGCAGTCTTAAGCTTCATGGACCCAAGATGGCAGCTCTGGGCTGCAAAGTTTAAGTACAGAGGGAGTTAACAAAATTCATTTTTCCATCAGTCCAATGAGTATCTTATATTTTTTCATTGACTTAGATTCACTTACATATGCATCTCTCAACCAATTGCTTTGGTGGGATACCTTAGAGCTGAAGGGCATAATCAATTTTAAACAATCCACATGGCCGAAAGTGGAGGGAAAGATGAATTGCCTCAATAATAATCAGAATGCTTTTGACAGGAAAAAAAGGAGGGAATTGATGCTGGGAAGTTAATCCACAATGTTGGGATTGAATGGTGAGGAGGACTACACCTATTCAGGGGAAAAGGAGTACAGCTATAGGGCTTATAAAGAGCTAAAGCTCGTGCTATACACAGCAGGGCCAGGAAAGACGGCAGAATGGACTGTCATTGTTGTTATTACTTGTAACAATAAGACCTGCCTGCCTGATATGATTATTCACTTTGATGTTTTATCATCACAGCAGAAACTGTGACAATTCAATTTCCTGATACCCTCTCAGATGGTTCTTCTGCCTCTTTTGTTGAATCCTTTTCTCCCTATGTTCCATGGATTAGAACAGTCATGAAAGCCCTGCATGTAGTCCTTTTTTCTCTCTTTCTCTAAGCCTCTTTCCTTGATCTCTGCCATTCTCCAGGTTTCAATTACTATAATCTTGAATGTAATTCCCAAAACTTCATCTCCTAGCCTATTCTATGAACCATGGAACTTTATAAATTAACCCAGCTTTTATTTGCGAATTCTATGTCTCAGAGTTCTGGGTTTGTTCCTGCCTGACTTCAAAAAATAACTAGCTTTATACAATTGTGAATGGAATTGTTTTCCTGATTTCTCTTTCTGCTAGTTAATCATTAGTGTATAGGAATGCAACAGATTTCTGTGTATTAATTTTGTATCCTGCAACTTTGCTGAATTCAGATATTAGATCTAGTAGTTTTAGAGTGGATTCTTTAGGGAATATTATTTAGCCATAAGAAGAAAACAAATTCTACCATTTGCAACAACATGGATGGAGTGAGAGGGTATTATGCTCAGTGAAATAAGCCAGGTGGAGAAAGACAAGTATCAAATGATTTCACTCATCTGTGATGTATAACAACAAAGAAAAAACTGAAGGAACAAAACAGCAGCAGGCTCACAGAACCCAAGAATGGACTAACAGTTACCAAAGGGAAAGAGACTGGGGAGGATGGGCGGGAAGGGAGGCATAAAGGGGAAAATGGGGCATTACGATTAGCACACATAATGTAGGAGGGTGGGGACATGGGGAAGTAATGATTCTATAGCATCTTACTATGCTGACGGACAGTGACTGTAATGGGGTATGTGGGGGGGACTTGATAATAGGGGGAATCTGGTAACCAGAATGTTCAAGTAATTGTACATTAACAATATCAAAATAAAAAAATAATAACTACCTTGAAGCTCTACTTAACAGTACAGAGGAACAAAAAAGTCTAAACTATACTCTAAGTAAGAGTTTATTGTTTGGTAACATCCATCCCACTAAATTCTAAATGCCTTGAGGACAGAGACTCTTCACTTATAGTACCAAAACAAACTTAATCATTTAATAAGTTCATGTCATAGTATAGACAGCTTTTCAGCACAATGCAACACTTCTTTATCCCATTTCTGAAAACCAATCATCTCAATTCCACTGTAACAGTCATAGTGAAGGCATGATGACCAGTTCACTATCACAGTCTATCCCAGTTTTGAATAGGTAGGAATTATATGGAGGTTGGGGAAGAGTTGTTGTTTTCCTGCATCTAAAATCCCTTCCCATGCTTGGTGGATCCACTATTCTGTGTGAGGAGGCAAAAAAATCCCATCACTTATTACATAAACTGAAAATCACAGATAATGCTTTTCTCCCCTGACTTGTGGTATTTAGCACATGGTACTTGGACCTCATCTGGGCATGTGCATCTGTATCTGGAATTGTGAATCTTGAACAAGTTATCCAAACAAGCAAGAACCATCTAGAATTCATCTCACTTGTGACATCTAGGATCCAGTGGTGTTAGTGGCAGCACCCTATCCAGAGAGTCCCTAAAGAATGACCTCAATTATGATACGGGTAGTTTCTATGATTTTGCTAATGCTATCCCCTCCCCTCGAATGCATTCCTCCTTAGCTCTGCCATCCTTCAGCCCTGCTGAAGCCCCATCTACACTGTACAACATTAAAGGAACACCCAGACAAAACTGACCAATCCCCTCACACAACTCCTTTGGTAGGGTGTATACCATTCATGTGGCACTTACATATACCCCTGTAGTTATTTACATTTTTAAAAATAACATACTCTATTGTCAGCATCTTTCAGACAGGAGTGGAGATTACCATATTTCTGAATTCCTTCCACTATGCCTAGTACATTGTTGCCGCTCAGTTAATAGTTAAAAAATTTTTTTAAATTAGATTTGGGAAAAACATTAATGAATGTAGGTCTATCTTCTCATGGACAAAAGGAGCAAAATTAAGTTCAGATGCAGTTTATATTACCTAATTTTAGCCAGTCATGATTGGTCTAGGTTTTCACCTTTCTGATTCCTGAGTTGAAGAATCTTCATTAAATGGTAGGGAAAATGAAATTTCATTTATTGAAGAACATGGTGGGGGGACTCCAAATGCATCTGCTAGCTATATTGTGAGCAACTTGAAGGCATCATTGCTGCCAGTCTTCTAACTCAGATCAGTTCTTTATAGGCTGGGCTCCCTGAATAAGAAAAGGAAGTCTGCAAAGGAAATTGAGAAAAGGAAGGCAAAAACCTAAACCTAGACTCAATGAGAGTGATCAACTTTGTCATAATACAGAGAAGTAAGGACTAAATAATGAATTTTGCAAGATATAACTCACAGGTGATGTTGAGAAGAGTCATTCACTTGACTGGTGGGGACCAAAACCTGAAGTAGGAAAAGCATTAGAATAAAAGTCAAGTAAATGAAAATAGTGGATCTAAATCTTCTTTTTCCCCAGGAATTTTATCAAGGGCAGTAAATAAATGGTGGTGACTGACCAGGGTCAAGGGAGGTCATTATTATCTTTTGAGATGGAAGTCATGTTTATTTGCTGATAAGGAAGATACACCAGGGAAGAAAAAACTAATAATGAAAAAGAGAGTAGCTACGGCCAAGTCCTTACGTAGGGAGGAAAACACAGGCTCAAAAGCACAACATGTAACAGCTGCTAGGACTCACAAGTGCTTGCTAAGTGTTAGCTATTAGTAGTTGTGATTGCTTAAAATTTTCAATAAATGAATAGGCATCAGGTTTACAAAACATAAACTCATTACTTAAATTACTTAAACTCAAGAGCTTGGATTCTAGCAGCAGACTAGAATCCAAATCCAAATTCTAGTTCCACCACTTGGCCAAGAAACTTTTCTTCTTAGGGCTTCGTTTTCCTCAGTAGATAAAGAGGATAACAATACCTACCTCACAAGGCTGTTTGCGGGCTTAACTGAGACAATCCGTGTACAATTTAACACTGTACTGGCACATGGAGAATGCTCAAATGTTAACGCCATTATAACTGCCATTCTGTCCCAGAAAGGTAACTGTGATTCTGGCCTCTAATGCTTTTAGGTTTAGGCACTGTCACACTGATTCCTAATCTTGGAACCATACCAGAGGTCAAGCCTCTCGGAGCGCACACGAGCTGGTAGGTTGTAAGAGGCCGGCACAATATAGAATTCCCCATTGCCTCGCCTTCTAGGGACACAGTCTGTTCCGAGGTACCGCCGTAAAAATAAAAACAAAAGGCAACTAAAAGCAGACACCGGAAAGCCACCTAGGAAATCATGCCTCAAAAAAAAGTGACAAGAAAGGGAGCCACGTCTACGCCTGCGCCACGGCCACGGCGCTCCAAATGCACCGGCGCTTTTGACAAGTGAGACGCTCCGGCGTTTCTTCCATTACGCGCGGTTTGGACGGAACGTCTCGTGAGAAGTGTGAGTTCTCGCGGGAATTGCGTTCAAAACACCCTGGCGCTTTCCCGAATGCTAGTTGAGTGGAAGGCGGGTGTTTCTGCAGTGAAGTGGGGTTACCGTCGCGAATCTGGGCGCTGTGAGCTGTCAGCACGAGCCGCCGGATGCAGCAGCAAGAGAAAGGGGTGAGGAGAGAGGTCGGGCAAGGGACCTGGAGGGAGGTGCGCTTGGAGAGGAGCAGCGGAGGGCCGGCTTCTGGGGAAAGGAGAGCAGGGCCTAAGGAAAACCTGGGGCCTGGGTCTCTGCCGAGGCCTTGGCCGGAACAGCTTCTTCAGCGGAAGAAGTTCTTGTAAACTAAGTTGCGAGCCGGTCTCAATCTTACGTGGGCCGCCTTAACGCCCCGGGGCTTCTGCGTCAATATGAAAGGCGGGATCAGTTGCCTGAGCCCTAGAATGGTAACAGACACTAGATGTGCACTATCCAGCCATATGTGGCAGGTCGAGTTGAGGAACACTGTAAATGTAAAATACTGGATTTCGAAGACTGCACAAAAAGAGTAATGTCTCAGTTTTTATCATGATTACGTGTTAAAATATTTGGGATGTGTTGGGTTAAAATGTTATTTAAATGAATTTCACCTGTACTTTTTTAAAAATGTGGCTCTTGTAAATTAAAAATCACATACGTAGTTCGCATTATATTTCTGTTGGACAGCGTGCCCCTGACAGCTGCGTGTCACACTCTGCCCTAATTGCTTTTCATCCATTAGCTGGTTCAGTCTTGTTAAAACCCTGTTAGGTAGATGTTACTGTTCTTGTTTTACAGATGACAAGACAATAAATACGTTTTCCCAGTTCCTGCAGCCAGTGAGTAGTGGAGGTGGGGTTTAGAACTCAGGCAGCCTGATTCCCCGAGCTCCCGGTCTCCTAAATGTTTTGTGTGTGCTGTTGTTTCCCAGAAGCAATACAGAAAAGTGTTCAGGAGCACCAGGCTTTGGAGCTAGAGTCTGGTTCCCAGCTTACTGAGCCACTTACTAGCTGATAATCCTGGGCAAGTTACTTAACCTTTTGTTGCCTCAGTTTGCACATGTAAAGTGGGGGAAATACCTGTATTTCACAGGCTTCTCGAGAGGATTAAATAAAATAATGTATGTGAAGCACCAAGCACAGTGTCTGGCACATACTAGACACAATTGTTATTTGACCCTGACTATCTCTCTTTGCAGATTGATAGGTTAACTCTTACTCATCTATGAGGTCTCTGCAGAAAAGTCACCTCCTCAGGGAAACTTTTCTTGTCCATACTCTCTCATATTGCCCCCATCTCACTACCCAGGTTAGGACAACTCCCTATGTTATAGGCTCTGATAGCACCATATATCTCTTTCTCTTGCACTTATCACACTTGTAACTTTACAGTTCAGTTATTTAGTACCTTTTCACTAATAAACTGTAAGATTGAAGAAGGTAAAGATATTGTCTAGTTTTGATGTCACCACTGTATTCTCAGCAATAGCACAGTACCCGACATATAATAGGGATTCCAGCAAATCTGAGTGAATGGGAGCTAATTTTTTGTCATCCCATTGCAGGATGGGATGTCTTGAGATTAGCTCCAGTTTTTTCTTTGATAAATGCTCATGACAATAGTACTTAACTCAGGCCCATCAAGAGAATTAAGTAATACATTTGAAGCCCTCAGCCTAACAAATGGTAAATTGTCAGCAAATACAAACTACTGTTAACAGTTCAGCATTAGTAGCTGGCCTCGTCATGTTCTTGGGAAGGTATTGCATTTTACAGCAATAATGCCAGCTCTGGATAACATAGCATACATTTTTTTTTTTCCTTTCTCTTCTAAAACCTTGTATCTCTTCATCTTCATTCTCGGTTAAAGACCCTCCTTCCTCTCTCACCGGTAAATTAAAGCAATTAGATGGGTACTTAAGAAGACTCACTACTCTACCTGCTTATCCGTGTCTCTACCCCTATGCTTTGCTTTTACTTACTTTTCAATGAAATATTTGTAATCCTTTCTAAAATTAATCCCTGTACATTGAATCTCTTTCTTTTTATTCATCACGTTAGCAGTTCTCCAGGTTTTTATATCATCAGTTTTTCTTTTCTCCTGGGTCTGTCCCATGACATACAACCATGCTGTTATTTTCAGGTAAGTTTTTATAAAATTTTAAAAACTTAATTGTGTTCTAAAATTTTTTTATCTCAAAAGAACTTGAATCTACTTCTTTGCCAGCACTGACCTATTTATCTATTTTCCTATGCAGCCAAGCTGTACTTGCTGTCTCCTGTTCTCCTTTTCTCTCTCCAACCCATTATACTCAGGCTTTTGTCCCCATCTCTCCACCAAAACTGCTCCTAAGGGTACCAATGTCAATGCCTCAGCTGATGACAAATCAATTCTACTAGTTGCTCAGACCAGGAACCTTGGAGGCACTTTTGACCTCTCTTTTTCAAACATCCTACATTCCATTTGTCAGAAAATCATATTGGCTTTACCTTCAAAATATGCACAGAATCTTATCATTTCTTACCACCTCCTATGTCACCACCCTGTTGTGAGTGACTGTCTCACCTGGTCTTTCTACTTCCAACTTGCTCCCCTTCAAACTATTCAATATAGCAGCCAAAATGATACATTTAAATATATCAGATTTATATTCCAGACTTTGCAGTGACTCCCCATTTCATCAAGAGCAGAAGCCAAAGTTCTTAAAATGGCCTAATCTGCCTATTCTCCCCTATTATCTCTTCTGACCTAAACCCTATCTTGTCCATTCTTTGTATTCCCTTCTGCCTTAGTATTACACTTCTCCCTAGAATATTCTTTCCTTAAATATGTACATGGCTAACTCTCATCCAGAATGGAGCACAGCACATAAAAACATTCCAGAAATACCTTTTCTTGATTACATTGACTGAGACATGAGGGAACACCTTAATAATAGCTCTTTGAAAGCAAAGCTGAGTTTGAATGTGGCCTAAGAGGCTGGAACCAGTATGGAAAAGATGAATGAGGTTGAGTTACAGTAGAATGTTTTTGGATATAATGTCAAGACTTTACTTGAAAATCTAAAATGAGATCAGTATTCTTTAATTGCTCTGAACATGGTTTCTATTTTGCACTCCCTCTTGTGAAGAACTAGGAAAATACTAGTGAGCCTGTTTTCAGTAAAGCACATTTAATGTGTTCAGAAAGTTAACATTGTGTGGAACTGTGGACATAGTAGTCCTTTCCTTACCTTACGAATTTTATTCAAAGCTACCTTTTTATATGTTCAATAGCAGTCATGCTACTATAAAATTTCTTAATTTATTTCATTGTTCTCTTAACTTGGTTACCTATATAGTCACATAATTAAGAGACTCACCTTATCTTAGCATTTAAGGAACTTGAGTGCACAAGTGAAGAGCTTTCTGATACTGCATTTCTGAAAAGCAAAATGAAAAGTATTCACGTTTTTGCTATCTTTTATTTGGTCTCAAATCAGGTAACAAAGTCATCAGACCTCACTCTTAGAACAGTAAGGTAAATTTAGCCATTTAGAAGTCAGGAAGAAAATTTTTAATACTATATTTTTATATGTCAGTAGTATTGAGTATGTGTTTGTGTATACATATACATATATCTTTTATTGATATTGCATAGAGTTTTTTGTTTAAGCTTAAGTACTTTTATTTACTCTATTTGCAGTAGACTAAAAATAGGAAAAAAGTCATGGAGGCAGATATAATTGCAGATCTTCGATGCAAACTCAAAGAGGTTGAGGAAGAGCGACTGCGAGCTGCACAGTATGGTTTACAGCTTGTGGAGAGCCAGACTGAACTGCAGAATCAGTTGGATAAATGTCGTCATGAAATGATGACCATGACTGAGGTAGGACTGTAGACTCCTCAGTTTACAAGGGTTTGCTTAGCTATTGAAGATTTGTGTTGTTTAGCAATTATTATTAATACTATTGTTGTTCTTTTTTAAGATTTTAGACCTAGTTTCCACTTACCCCATCCCCAACAAAGAGAAATGAATTAAATGAATTCCTAATATTCTTTCTGACCCAGTCTCTTCTGAGTGTGAAAAATCAAGTTATTTCTGTTTTTATTACATACTCAATTTTAGATTTTGTATTGTTTGCCCTCTTCCTGAAAGACCTCACTTGTTTCATCGCTTTAGATAATATCTAAATGCCCCATGACACTATGGCCAAGTCCTGAGTTACCCCCTAAAATTTAGACTTCTGGATTCAATTACCCACTAATAGACATCTCAAACTTGACATAAACAGAAAGAATAGTTGATTCCCTGTCCACTAGCCAATCATTCTCTTGCAATTTTCTTTAGCTTGCAATTTTCTTTAGTAAATGTAATAACATTCATCCAGTTGCTTAAGCCAAAAATCTAGTTTTACTCAATACTTGTCTGTACCTTACTTCTCAAATATAATCTGTTAGTAATCTCTAAGAGCTTGACCTACAAAACATCTGTCTATGCTACCTCAGTGCTAGTCCAGATCACTGTATCTCTCCCCTAGACTAGTACTGTGGGCTAACCAAGTTGCCTGCTTCCTTCATTGCCATTCATACCATTAATTTTTCACAGCAGCCAAGTACTCATTGAAATATATACAAAAGATCACGTCACAGCCCTGCTAAAAACATAAAACTGCTTCCGATGATGTTTACAACAAAATCTGAACTCCTTTCCTGGGTTTGCTGATTCCCTGTATGATCTGACCCCTGCCAACCTTTTGACCTCATCTTAAAACTATTCTCCCTTGTTTTTAGCTACCTTAGTATTGCCATAGGAGCTTTATATGCCTCCAGCTGAGTTGTTCATTCTTTACTGTCATGGATTGAGTCCTCAAGCTTTAGACTTCTATTACGTCACCTTGGCAGAGAGGCCCTCCCTCAGCTAAGTTTTATAAAGTTGCCATCATTCACTTAGTTCTCTGCAGTGCTAATTATCTCCACATTTTAAGTTCCATGAAAGGGAGTTTTGTTTTTTTTATTCATTGCTGTATCCCTAATGTCTGGCACACATTTGAAAGAATGAATAAATCACTTTTTTTTGTAAATGTTCAGTAACATATTTAAGCTTTCATCCCAAAATTTAAATATAGCAGGTAAAAGTAACTAATAGCAACCATTATTTTTTTTCGCTTACTTGATCTAATTTTATTTTTTCATATTTTTTAAAGCTTGTTGAAGGAGTTTGAAGTGATGCCCTTTTTATCTTTACCTTTAAACTTCCCTGTCACTTAGCAAAAGCACACTTAAATACTTCTTTTGTCTCAGCACTGTATTTATTGAGGTAGTCATTTGTAAACATTCCTCAGATAACTACATGCTGAAAGTGAAGGCTAATTCAGTACTTCTCTTTATACCTAGTCCACTATTTCTTCATTTTGTTAAGAGCTACAAGTAGAGGATAACATCAAACCAAGTAATTCTCAGTAGGAAAATATAAGTGCTATTAAACCTTTTTTTGTTGTTCTTTTTTTTTTTCCTAGCAGAGATTACTATGGAGCATTTTTAAATTCCTTGATAGGGCATAGAAGCAATTACCTTATGGTAACATGCACTTGAATGTAGTTTCAAAATATCCCTCAGCTTTTTTAAGACTGATTAGCTACAGTGTTATTCCAGATTAAACATGTGGTCATTACTTAGCAAACATATGAAAGTAATGAAACAATTAAAGGTAAGAACTGCTTATATGTGATGACTTTGTTATTTTTGTGTAATTGAATTATAATTGAATCTGTTTTCAGAATTATGAACAAGAAAAATACACTCTTCAGAGAGAAGTAGAGCTCAAGAGTCGAATGTTAGAAAGTTTGAGCTCTGAATGTGAAGCTATTAAACAACAACAAAAGATACACCTGGAGAAATTAGAAGAACAGTTGAGCAGAAGCCATGGACAGGAAGTGAATGAACTAAAAAATAAGGTTTGGCTATCTATATTTCACGACAAAAATGTTCCATGCTTATGCAGCAATCTGTAAATGTTGGGTGATAAAGATTTTTGTAGTAACATCTATGCAATATAGCTGAGATAAAGGGCTCTATCAGTTCAATGTTGGGGGTGGGAACACTGAAAGAGTCAATTACAGCTGACTCAGTGTAGTTTGAGCTGCACAGGTCCACTTATATGTGGATTTTTTTCATTAAATACATTGAAAAATTTTTTTGAAAATTTTGATAACGAAAAAATATTTTCTCGGTTACTTTATTAAGAGTACAGTATATAATGTATATAACATGCAAAATATGTGTTGACTATTTTTTATCATCTGTGAGGCTTCTTGTCAACAGTAGGTTATTAAGTTTGTGGAGAGTCAAAAGCCATATGCAGATTTTGACTGCATGGGGCTCGGTACCCCTAAGTCCTACATTGTTCATGGGTCAACTGTATTTAATTTTAATAACTAAATAATTTGATCCAGAGTTTTAGTGACCAGATGACTTCTTTGCTTCTAAAGCATAGTATGGTAGTATCCTCTCAGAAAGGCTAGTTCCCTAGCTTTCACTTCAACTAGTGGTACATTTTGTAATTCAACAAAATAAACCAATAGTTTCTGGTCAATTTATGTACGTTAGAATTGATGCTTTATAGTTTTTTAAACTGAAAATAAAGTAATACATACAGTCTAGTTCTTACAACTACAAAAGAGAAGTACCATTATTTTCTTCTTAAAACAGATGAGAAAATTAATGTTTAAACAAATGAGTAGATTGGACAAAATTATAGAGCTAAAAATTACCAGTGAAGATTTGAACTGAGGCTGTCTGATTCCAAAGCTCATGTCACTGTACTTAGTCTCATGTTATGTTATACTGGCTTCATTTGCAAGTACAAAATAATTTTTAGTGACTGTCCATTCCCTTTTGGCACTGTTTTCTATACAATACCTTCAGGTTACTTCTAAGGAATCCTGAACTTTTATCATGGCTTCTTTCTGTATAGAGTCCATACTTTCCAGACTCCTCTCTACCAAAAATTGTCTGAGTTTTTTCCTGTTTCCTCAGAAGTCTGTTTTCCAATTTTCTTTGTTTTAAGATTTTTCCATACTGGTAGCACCTGTATTTTTAATTAATTCCTTATTAAATTGGCTCTCTTTTTTAAGTGTTTTCTCACTTTAAGTGCTACTATCAGTGCAATTATATATTTGAGCTGATTATATTTCTTCGTAATATGCAGTAAAACAAACATAACTATTAAAATATACTTTCATGTAGTACTTAGAATCATCTTGCTTAACCATTCTGGCAAGTAATAATCCAGCTTGTCTGAAACTAATCTGAGTTGAGAAATCAATGACTGATAATGATATATTCCTTCTTTTTCCTGGATATTATTTTCACTTAAGTGGTAGCTTTCATTACCTAAACAAAAATGTATAATATAGGAAATACTCAATCTGCGGCAAGGCCAATTATAGAGATGGCTTTTTGGTGGACAAAGACTAAATCAGTGAAAAAAAGTATTTTCGGTCTACTAATGTTCTCAGAACAGTTGTGCCAAGAATTTAGTTTTATTTGACATCTTTCTTTCACTTATTTCTCACATTTAACCCATCAGTAAATTATGAGAACTTGGCCTACAAAACATCTATCATCCAGATAACCATCATCTCCTAGACTGCTACTATAGCCTTTTGTCCAAATAGCCTGCTTCCATCATTGCCATCATGCCATTCATTCTTTACATAGTAGCCACAGTGGTCAGGAATCCATACCTACTCTGATTATTTGTATGGATTGTTTGAACGTTTATAAAACAAGGCATGTCACTCCTGTTAAAAGATGATTAGCCTTGGCCAAATAGGAAACCATAATAGTTTCATCATGCTGTAAGTTTGATTCAGTCAGTGATGTTTTTCAGGAAGATGGCCATATATCAACATAGATCATTCAGCTGAAATTTTTATTTCACACCATGAAGATAGAAAAAGGAAAATCAGGCTAAGAGGCTCTTATTTTTTAAACAGAAAACAAATACAAGGATAAATTATAAGAACACTGACACCTTATTGAAGATAATTCAATTACTTGATCATCATACACCTGGACATCAAGTAAAAGCTTTTTATTGATAACAAAAACCATTTAGTGAGTGTCAGGCAGGTGATGTTTTAACCATCCAGTCTCAATTGAGAGCCTCACAATAACCCAAAGATGATAGGTAAAATCATTTACCAGTTTTAAATATGAGGAATGAAACTGAGACATGTTTAACATAGGCCTGACCCTAAAGCTTCACTGTTGTATAAGTTTGTTCACTTTAAGCTTTATAGGCTTGGTCTTCTAAGATTTGAAACTTGACATGTTAAAAAGAGTAAATAGTTTTGTTCAGCTTGACCATCTTTCAAAGCAGTTAAGGTACTTGTAGGTACCAGAATACTGTATATTCTGATGACCTTCAGTTACCTTTTGATGTTTTAAGATTGTGATTTTTTTCCCTTTTAGTTAGAAAAGCTGAAAGCAGAATTAGACGAAGCTAGGCTTAGTGAAAAGCAGTTGAAGCACAAAGTGGATCACCAGAAGGAACTCCTCTCCTGTAAATCAGAGGAAATGCGGATAATGTCTGAACGTGTGCATGAAAGCATGTCTTCAGAGATGCTGGCTCTTCAAATTGAGCTGACTGAAATGGAAAGTATGAAGGTAATTTTTTTGGCATAGAGACATTTTCTCGGATCCTAGTTGGTGTCATAAAAGCCCAATATAAGACATTATTCCCATGGAAGTTGATACGCATATGGATGTAAATTTTTTCATTTCAGCCTGAGGTTAATTAAAAATTAAAACCTTAAATTCATAGGAAAGACAGTCTCTAGAGCTTTTATTTAGATGCCTACTGAAAAATTTAGTAGTTTTTATTATTAGGCTCCTTACAACCTTTGATTAGTTTTTTTGATTGGATAAACTGCTGATGGATAAACTGAACAGCTGCTAAATGAAGGATTATTCAGGAGAGTTTCCTCTTTTTCAATTCCTGTTGAATAGACCACCCTCAAAGAAGAAGTGAATGAACTCCAGTACAGACAAGAACAACTGGAACTTCTTAGTACTAATCTACTGCGCCAGGTGGACCGGCTTAAAGAAGAAAAAGAGGAGCGGGAGAAAGAAGCAGTTGCATACTATAATGCCTTAGAGGTATTATGTTTACAGTAATTTTATCTTTTCAATTTATAATAACTTGTTCCTTTACTAATCTAACCTCTATTAGCTAAATTGTTTTCTTTTGAATTTAGAAAGCTCGTGTAGCAAATCAAGATCTTCAGGTACAGTTAGACCAGGCACTCCAGCAAGCCTTGGACCCCAGTAGTAAAGGCAACTCTTTGTTTGCAGAGGTACTTAGAAATATTCTGTTGATTAAATTGGCATTTCACATAATATAAGAGTAATTAAGCATGTTGATATTTTCTAGGTAGAAGATCGAAGGGCAGCAATGGAACGTCAGCTTATCAGCATGAAAGTCAAATATCAGTCACTAAAGAAGCAAAATGCATTTAATAGAGAACAGATGCAAAGAATGAAGGTATAGAATTGTCACTGTGAAAGGTTTATTAAGCCTATTTTATATCAGCATTACATGTACAAATACGTCAAAAAGCATCTTTTCCTTTAAGGAGTGTACTTATATAGTTGTTTCTAGAACTGCCTGATTTTAGAAGAAAATATTTTTAAATTGAGCAAAAAATCTATTTATTTACAAAAAGTAACCTATAGTAAATATTTAGTAGTAGTATATTTAGCATCCATTGATGGTTGATTTTTTTAGCCTTGCCAGAGAGGTATAAATCCATGGAGAGGGGTAAAAAATAAATAAAAAAGTTTTTATTTCCTGTTAGCTTGGTATCTTTCCAAGTATAACCCTAAGGTTCCTTTTTCAGCTAAAACTAGCTCCCTTACCATTCTTCAATCCTCCCTTAAAGGCTTATGTAGAGTAAGATTTGTACTTCCTTTCCTTGCTGTTCCTTAAGTTAAGCATATAGGTCCTTTAATTTTAAGGGTTTGTTAGTCATCATTTTGGTTGAACAGATGGTAACATAGAAACTGGTGTAAGAAAGATTCTGGTGTTGTACGAGCCCCTAGAATACTGAGCCTGACCTGTTAATGCCTAATTGGTAACTGGAAGTCAGGATGGCTTCCTGCCTTTTATTCAGGATGGTGAGGTACACCAAACAAATAGGAAAGGTCAGTGATTAAACTTTGGTATTAGAAGAACTTGGATTGAATCCTTGCTATTCCTGAATTGTGACTTGCTAGCTATGTGACCTTGGACAAGTATTTTTACTTTACAGAGTATCAGTAATCTCATCTGTAAAGTGGGATGACAGAACCTGTCTCTTAGAATTACTGTGGAGTTAAATGCAAGCATAGTAAAATGTTTACATAGTACTTGGCAAATAAGGAAGTGCTGACTTAATAAACAGTTACTGTGACTTTTATTTCTAAGGATTTTGACTATTCTGCTTGGTTTACTGAGGCTCTTTGCTCTCTGGCAATTATTTCTTTGTAAATTTTCTCACATTTGCTTCTTGTTTTCTCCCAGCATTGCTTGGACTGATACTATTAATCTCCCAATGTTCCCATGATATCTCATCCTGGTGTGTGTGCTTTAGACACAAGTAGCATTTTGAACCTTCTTAGGCTAAATGCGTCAGCATTCTGAAATAAGAAAAAGTAAATCCTCAAAAATGTCAGAAGTCATCTCTCTGTCTTCCTTGTAACCATAACTGCAACCTCATATCATTGTTTGTTTTGGTCAAAACTATATTTTAAACTAATTGATAACTTTCAGAACTCCAGACATTTCTGAAAGCAGAAAGGAGTGCTAAGTTTAGATTCTAGTTAATTTCCTTCTGATTGCTGTGCAACACCAGGTTTAGGTGGAGTCATAATTATGTCAGTTGATTGCTGCTCTTAAAAACTAAATTTTTTTATATTTGTGTTGAAGACTGCCTCTGCAGCCTTAGATTGCCTTTTGCCTTTGCTTTACATCCTTGTCATTTATGAACCTCATGTTTGTGCATGTGAGCAGCTAATTATTTTTCCCAGTTAATACTATTGAAAGTAATTAATATTTGGAGAAACCCCATCAGACCTTTAATGAGAATGCATATGATGAGTATAGCATTGCGGCATTTGGCCAGGCTTATTTGCCAGCTAAGTGATACTTCTAGATCATAACCATGCAGTTCAATTTTATGTTTCACAGAAGTACAAATCATTGTTAAGACATCAGATACCATTCATAAGTAGTCAAAATAAGTGCCCAAGTTATGTCTGTAACTAAACTTATTGATATAAATGTTTTCAAATTGTTACATTATTAAACTAGAAATAGTTGGTTTAGTTTCCAAAACTAGTTCACAGAAATATAGTTCAAAATATGAAATGTACCAAAAATATGGTTATCAGAATCTCCCTTTCCCTACTCAATTTTATTGGGGTTTAGGGTTAAATTTTTTTTTCTAGTTACAAATTGCCACATTGCTACAAATGAAAGGGTCTCAAACTGAATTTGAGCAGCAGGAACGGTTGCTTGCCATGTTGGAGCAGAAGAATGGTGAAATTAAACATCTCTTAGGTGAAATTAGAAATCTGGAGAAATTTAAGGTATGTGTAACAGTGTAACACCATTAAAAAATGCAGCTAAATTTGGGTTCAATATATTAATACTTTAACTTGAAGAAGTTTCTTTATTATATAATTAACTCAGAGTTTTAACTGAGATTTGAACAATATTTAAATTGCTTTTTTCTTGTAATTACTTTTTGCTTTTCAATGTTATTGGCTATTGCTTGTTTTAGTAGAGTCAAACTGGCCTCTCCCATATTTGTTGTTACTGTTTTACCTCAAAGTGCCATATCTTCAGTGTAATACTCAGTAAATTGTAACACACATATGCCCACTTAGAATTACCCCCCATCTCATGATATAGAATAGAATGTCAGTTGGCAGGCATGTATGGCCTACGAGTGAGCTCAGTGCTATGCTTTGAAAATGATGGCTTTAAGTCAGGGTGTTAATCTGCAATCTCTAAAATTGTTTACAAGTGTTTAAGCAGATTTATATTTTTCTCCCCTAAAGAAATTGTACAGAGATTAATACATCAGAATTTTAGAAAGTGGGGACCAAAAATAACTTTATGTATATCCACTCTTTTTCATAAAATTTTCTAATTTATGACTTTATCATGAAGGCCAGAACTCAACCCAATATTTACTTTTCCCATGTTAAAAGCCAGCAGAAGTAAACCGGAGGATAAAGGTGCTGTTAGAAGCATAGGCTTTGGATTCAAATGTGAGTTTAGATTCTCTCTTCTCAGTTTACTTGCCTATACATCTTGAGCCAGTACCCTTATCTATAAAAGAGGAATGCTCATTCTTACAGCTATGTCAAAAGGTAAATAAGTTAAGGAATAATGCTTAGCCCAAGTGCCTGCCATACAGTGAACATTCAATTATGGGGTAACTGATATTATTATTAATAAAATTTACTAACCTAATTTGTAATTTATTTTAAATAATAAGAATTGTTTTTTTTTAGAGTTTATGTGAAAATATGGAATCTAAGCCTGCAGCCAACTCTAATGCTCTGGAAGATAACACTTACTACACAGATTTACTTCAGATAAAGCTTGACAACTTAAAGTAAGTGTTGGGTGGATGGAAAGATGGCTTCTTTTTGACTTGCTTATAACAAATAGTATCAGTAACTATAAATATTTGTTTTTAAATTTTTAAAAAAAGTTTTAAAAATCTAAAGAAATTTTCAGAAAAGAAAGGAAACAAAAATACTTTTGTGCAACAAATGACATTTATTCAATAGATATTTAGTGCTGATTATTGAAGGAAAAATACTTTCAATGAATAATTAAATGTTTTTACTTCTTTGTGTTTATTTTTTTAGATTGGTAGGTGAAAGGAACTTTAATGTAAAAAATGTTCTTATAATCTAAGTTTTTCAAAAATATCACATAATTTAAAACTTAAAGGAATTCATTTATACATGCATAAATGTGGAAAAAATATTTTCCCCCTTTGTCCATTTCCTTGGAAGAATTGAGGAGGTTTTTTTAATTTGAAAGTACTATTATTTTTTATTGAGGTACATACAAAAAAACACAAATGTTAGTGTACGACTCAGTGAGTTTTGACATGAGTATATACTATATAACCATCACCCAGATCAAGATATCAAACATTGTCACTAATTTTTTTTGCCCCTTAACCTCTTTGACCCATCCCTCCACTCCTTTTCCCTATGGCAACCAGCATTTATGAGTTTATCTGTTTTGTTTGATTGTTCATTTGTTTTGTTTCTCAGATTCCACATGTAAATGATATATGGTATTTGTCTAACTTATGAAAAATGCTGTTGCTAAAAATTATTTTGTTTATTGTTTCTTTGTTACTGAAAACTTCGAGGAAATGCATTTTTAACAAAGATTTCAAATATATAAAAGGTTTGTACTATTCGACTTATTTATATTATATGTTATTTTAATGTCGCTTGGTTCTCCTTTTTTATCTATATAGCAAAGAAAATGAAAGCACTAAAGGTGAATTATCCATACAGAGAATGAAAGCATTATTTGAGAGCCAGCGGGCTCTGGATATTGAACGAAAACTTTTTGCAAATGAAAGATGCCTCCAGGTTTCCCAAAGTGAAAATATGAAACTGAGAGCTAAACTAGATGAGATAAAACTGAAGTATGAACCTGAAGGTGTGTATGTCTCATATATTTTGTCTTTTTTTAAATTGTCAGAAGCTCTGAGAAATCAAATTTTTTTATTACTACAGCTTTATGCAAATCCCATTACAAACTAATTTGGGGTATATATTTCATAAAACAGATTTACTGCTACAAAATGTATAGAAAATTCACAGACAACTGGGTACTGGATGTGCATGAATATAATAGGTACTCTTTTGGATATCTTTATATTAGAACCTTGACATTTGGGACTTTTACATTTAAGATTGCAGTATCTTCTGTAATACCAAAGAGTTTGATTTTGGTGACGCAACTGATATTTGGGAGCTATGTTAGTAAATACTGTTTATAGGAAATTAAAATAATGAAGATGTAAACAAGATAGGTATTTATTCCTCCCCCTTATACAGGTCTGGAGGAGGCATTCCAGGACAGGTTAGAGTATCAGGATTTAGGCTTTATTTGCATTGTTCATCAACAGACCTCTCTGAGCAGAAATTAGTCATGTGGTCTCATCTGCATGTAAGAAAAGCTGAGAAATGCAGTCTTTCTCAGGGTAATGTTCCCAACTAACTTTGGGGATTTTTTTTCTTTGGAAGTATAATTAATATACAATACCCTATTAGTTTCAGGTGAATATAATAATGATTTGGTATTTTTATCCATTATGAAATCCCCATAGTAAGTCCAGTTGCTATCTGCCACCATACAAAGTTACTACAACATTATTGACGACGTTCTTAGGAATTCTATTATTAAGAAAGCATAGTAGTACAGATATTAGAAGACAGCTAGGAAGTCTAATCACCACGGTAGAAAATAGCCTAGCCATGAGCATATATACACTGAAAAGAGTGATTTTACTATATGCAAATTAAAAATAAAAGGCCAAATGTTAAAAAGTTTAAGAATGTGACAGCTTTTAGACCAAAAAATGTGTTGTTACATGTTTGGGGTTATAGATTTTCAGCCAGTGTTTGCCCCTACACTGTTCACATTTCTAAGACTCTCTCTTCATTATTATGTTAATGACTCCAGAGTTAGACTCTGAACAATAGTGCAGGAGTTGTTATCAATGGTAAGGTCTTTTAAAAGTTTCTGTTTTAATGGCTTCTCTTTCTCTCACCCTTTTTCTCTTCCCTGATTCTAATAGGCTTTCCTAATTAAGAATTATCCATTATGAATTTCAAAAGTCTGATGAATTGAACACAGCAAAGAGATAGGAAGAAATGTAGTAATCTAGATGATACGGGTTTCAAAGAAGTGCAAGAAAAAGAAAAAATAATAACTTAAAAAGAATAGTGTACCGCACATCCAACCATAGTTTCTCCAACTTTGCTAACATTTTTATTTTGAAAATAAAAGATACACTGGAATGGGGATAGGCAAAAGGTACTAGAGCAGTTAATTTAGTGACTGTGTTTATGGATCTATGAAGGGGATGGAATGATGTTATGTTAGGTAATGTGGGCAGGTTATTGCAGTAGTTTGCAGTGATATATAATATGATTTGAACTGGGGAAATATCCATGGTAGAAGCACTCATATTTTGAATATATTTTGTTAATAGGCACAAATTACAATATTCAGAGAATTTGACCTTTTTTCATTTAATCCTTACAACACACAATCTTGAGTGAAATGGGTCCTTTTACAAATAAGGAAAATAAAGCTCAGAGAGGTTAAGTATTTCCCCAAGGTTATCCAGCTGGAAAATGCTAGTACTTGGATTTGTACCTTGATTCCTTGACTCTTAGCTACAGTATACTTCCTCTTTTCCACACCGAGATCGTAGGAGGCATACAACTTTTATTACAATACCAGAAGACAACGTTTAAATGTTCATTCCAAGAGGCAAACATACTGAGTTCCCAAAGAAAAAATTATAGCCAGATAACCTTTAAAAGTTAGTTAATGGAGTCCATGAAAAAAAAGAATAAAAGACAGAAACAATATATTTCAATAAGGTGGGGAGTTGGTTTTAAAAGAAAGAGAAAAGCTGTAACTGGTTCTTTCTTTTTATGTTGAATCTTTGTTTTGACTTACTGACTGGATATATTTTTAATGTTTTTTATTCTCAGAGAAAATTGAAGTGCCTGTAGTCAAAAAAAGGCGTGAAGTACTGCCTGTGGATATGACCACCCCTAACAATATATGTGCTGTTGGGGAAGAAGTTTATAGATTACCATCTCAGAAGGAGGAGGCACAGTCCTGTCCTAGCAATTTAGAAGATAACTTGCAGTTAGAAAAGACAGTTTTTATAAATACACCAGGAGTCATTCTCTCTCCTCACAAAGATCTGTCCATGGATATTCAGCCAATGAAGGAAAAGAAATGTGTGAAACTTACAGGAGTTCCAGCGGACTCTGAAGGCTTAAGTGAAAGAAGTGGAAACACCCCTAACTCTCCCAGGTCAGTGTCATCTTTTCTTCAAGGCAAACAGCAGACCTCTCCATCTCTTCTCTATCGCTGCATGAACTGTGCTATCTGTTTTTTTATCTATTTTCTTAGTATTGCATGTAGTATAATTCCTCAATTTCATCTGCCTACCTTCAACTTTTCTAAAACTTTAAGAAAGACTAAAATGATTGCAAGGGGAAAGGACTCGTGAATAAGGGAATTATTTTTAAAAGTTATACTTTTCTGTTTCATGAAACAGAAATATCACAGTCTGGTATATCACTGGATGTTTTGTTGGTTTGAATAAATACATGGTTTTTTCCCTGGCTCGAGAAGGGCCTTGAAAAAATTAGCTTACCTCCTACAAGAGCTTTCCAGTAATCTAAAAAGTTTCAGCCTTACAGAAAATTTTTAGGTTAAATGTTTGTGGTTTTTGAAATTGTTTATTCTAAACCTTCAAGAATGAGCTTTGGTATGTATTTTGATATTTTTAAATAGCAAATGTAATTCATTTTCATTTCATACCAAAACTTTAAAGCCTCTAGTTTCTGTATATTTGAGTTTGTGACTAAAAGAGAAAGTGTCAGACATGTATGTATGTAGGAATTAATGTTTTAAGGGACTTATCCTTAAGAAATCAACAGAGGTCAGGAGGTAAGAGAAGGTAAGTGGAAGGACAAGGTAGGAAACAGTGCCTGAGGCTAGAGTGGAATAAGATAAAGGTTCTGGATGTGCACGGCAGGACAGAGTGGGGAAAAAGTGAATGAGGAAGATGGAGAAGGTAAAAAAAGATAACATGATGAAGGATGTCTTTATGCAACAGAATGATAGATGCATTTAAAATAATTTCTTTAGACGTTTAAAAAATGAGGCATTTTGATATGTAAATAGCTTGGATAATCTGCTATGAAAGGAGATCTTTAAATTGCTACTAGGGCTACATCAGTCTTTGATGGATGGGGACAGAATAAGACATTTTACTGGTGTACATTTGCATTGAAATAGTACGACATAGCCCACCTTATGTAAAAGAGCTTTATGTGTATTTTATCTGATTTCTCTTCCAAGTGTTCAGTGCTACTAAGTGTGTAGTACTCTATTAAGTGTGAGAGCATTTCCATAATGTTGGCTGCTATTATAAAGAGGAGTAATTGAGTACTCCATTCCTTACATTTTTATATAATAACATTATAAGCCACATAAAACAAAAGCTTGATATTCTCAAGGAAAAAGTAACTTCAGATGAATGATATCTCCCACACACATGTTCTCTAGGAAGTTTTGTAATGAATTCAACAGGTTATGCTTGTATATATTTAATTCACTGTGTAAGTGTGCTTGCCCATTGTTTATTTCTGGAGGAGGGTTTCCAGAATTGATCAGTGAAAACCTTGCTATCTGTGTTGTCTTCATTACTTTTTCTGCCTTTTTTGCTTGATAAAAATTATGTATTTAGCTACTTGTTTGACTCAAATTAACTAGCACATTGCAATTATTTTCTCTTGCTAGTTAAACAGAAACAAATAAAATGCCACAAAACATGTGTTTTTGTGTGTGTGTGATTCTGTCTGCTAACTTAAGACGTTTCCAACCTTTTGCTTTATGCATGATTAACTTAGACACAATCCTATGATAATATTGTAACTAAACAAGTTTTATTGAGGACTTCACTACTGCATGCATTATAAATTTCATTGATGTCCTTTCTATAAAATATCTTTATAGGTTTTTAAAAATATTTCTCCTCTGTTTATTTTTTATTAAATTATTGTTCTGCTAGTTGAAACTCTATTTTAGTTTTTTCTGATGAGACAAATAGATAACTATTCATGCAGCCCAGGATTTCATGTTATTTTTATCTTATATTTGCCTTTTATATGTCATGTTACATTAAAATAGTGCTCTAGCATTTATATATTTTTTGTTAGGTGTGCTTATCATGATAGGCACCCCTATTATATTTTATTCTTAATTTAGGCTTTGTCATGACTTTATCAACCCTGAAGGTATTTCTTTAGATATTTAAAAAACTAAGTCTACTGATATTAAAAAACTCTTTCAGAGATGCAGTGACTAGTTTTATTAATGGTACTGGACTCAACTGTAATTTTTTCCCTCATATACAAAAAAAAAAAGCACCTTGCCATGTCTCATTAAAGGCCCATTATAAGAGAAGATTGTTTCTTCTTTAATTTTTCTTAATTGCATTTGAATTCAGAGTGGATGCTTTAATGCCTATAGGTTAGCTGCTGAATCAAGACTTCAAACAGAAGTTAAAGAAGGGAAAGAAGCTGCAAGGAAATTGGAAAAGGAAACTTGTAAGAAATCACACCCCATTCTATACGTGTCCTCCAAATCAACTCCAGAGACCCAGTGCCCTCAGCAGTAAAGACTTTTCTTTAATGAGAGTAAGGTACCACTTACCCAAAAGGTTGCTTTGGAGCTTAGAGAAGATTGTCTTTACCTGAAGTACCACCTGCTAGGTTATTACCTTCCATTCACTCTGCCAGGACCCTGCATTTTATGCTCCTTTGACCAAATGTTCAAAATTTGGTTGTGATTCTAACTGGGATAATGCATTAAATGATTACCCTTTATGGAGCTTCTATTAATCACAGTGAATAAACTATTAACTGAAGGAAAGTATTATTATAAGTCTATTTGTTGCATATTATATGGATTTTTAAAATGATACTAACACATACATTCAGAGCCATATATTTAAGAAGGGAACAGTGAAACCATTGACCTATTATATTTTCCTATGTACTTAGTTTTTCGTTACATTGTAAAAATAAAAATCTTGTTTTAAAAATGATATCATATTGTGACTGGATTTTCTCAGTGTTTAAAGCACCTCTGTTCATTTTTGTATTCATACACGTGATTTAAATTTTATGTCTCAAGCATATGAAAAAAGTAGTTTTGAAACTTTAAATAAAACTGCAATAATTTACCCCCTTTCTATTTTCTTACTCTGTATAAATAACAGGATGTTACCAAAGGGAATAAAGAAGAAACTTCAGAGATTCTTAATTCCCTGGTATGTGTGTGTGTGTATAACTTATTTACATAATTTTATATATACATGCACATATAAAACATATTTTTAATTCTAAACTTCCCAAAGAGTTTTTTCCTTTAAATGATTACAGCCTGGTCTATAACTTAATTTCATATATCCTATAGATGGGTATATTAGTCTATATGGAGAGAGAGAGACGGAGAGAGATTTTTAAGACTTGGCTTATGTCATTATGGAGGCTTGCAAGTCCAAAATCTGCAGGGTGGACCAGCAGGGTGGAGACCCAAGGAAGAGCCAGTGTTACAGTTCATATCCAAAGACTGGCTGCTGCAGAATTCAGTCTTGTTCTGTCCAAGACTTCAGCTAATTCCATGCACAGGCCCACTCACATTAAAGAAGTCAATATACTTTACTGAAAATCAACAAATTTAAATGTTAATCTTATCCAAAACCACTCTCACAGAAACATCCAGAACATTTGACTACCCATCTAGGTTCTGTGGCCCAGCCAAGGTGACACATGAATTTACCATCACAGTGGGTTATGTTAGGTAAATCTATTGAAATATATTGGGTAAAAGGAAATTGCTTCTCGTTTATGAATAAATCAAATAAGCTTCTAATTTTAATTTGCTACAAAAAAGATACTCTAAGAAAATTACAAATTTCATGTTAAGTAATATCTCTTGTAAAAAGAACTAGCTGAGGGCACTAGGGAACAAATAATTTTAAGCTGAGGATAATAACAAATAAATGACCATATTCATTGCATAGTAATAGAATGTACATCAATTCCTCACAATGTTGAGTTTTTATTATGGGCTGTGTGGTAGGGGAGCAAAAGAAAGCAGGCCGTCAGATGAATAGTGGTAGTGGTGATATTACTAGTAATAATAGTTATATATAACATTTGAATAAATTAATATATCAGGCACTCTTCTAAGTCCTTTAATTTTATAGGTAAGGAAACCAAGGCCTCAGATTATTTGTCCAAGGACACAGGTGTAAGTATATGATGAAGAAAAAGTGTACAGGTTGTAATAACAGAGTATACAAAGTGCTGTAGGAACAGAAGGAAACAAACTGCCTGAGGGCTTTTTATTTTTTGGTTCTTTTTAAGCTGAGATAGTTTGAGAGGTTTCCTAAGGTACAGAGAGAATAAGAGTATTGCTAGAAATAGCTGTTCAAAGAATAAGGCATAAAGCAACATCTCTAATTCAGTAAACTGAAGACTTCGAAGTGAATAGAGGTATAGGACTTGTGACAATCAGTAATAATAAATTGAATCTGAAGAGAGAGCTAAGCGACATATGAAGAGCTTGAGTTAGGAAAAACTGTTGTGCCAACAAAAACTTAGACAGACCCATAAACAAATTTAGCAACTGTGATTGAAGGTTGAAGAAAAGGGATGGCAAGATAACCTTATCTATCAAGCCTCTGCTTTATCACCCTTAAGAGACTGAGGCAATGCCTACTGAGTCTTGAGTCTTTTAAGAATAATTTTGAAAAAATACACATTTTAAAAAGTCACCACTGGAGGTGTTAGAAAGCAACTGAATAACTGATAGAACAACCAACTGAATAAATTGAAAAGGTTGAATAATTCAGTTTATTTTTAGTAAAAACACTAGAGACAAATTGCCTCTCACTTATGAATAAATCAAATAAGCTAATTTTAATTTGCTACAAAAAACATACTCTAAGAAAATTACACATTTCATGTTAAGTAATATCTCTTGAAAAGAACTAGCTGCAGGCTGTAGGGAACAAATAATTTTAACCTGAGGACAATAACAAATACATGGATACAGAAGAAAATAAGAATGGCTATCTGGTAATCCAGATAGGAAATACAGGTGCAAACTGAGGCAGTATTAGTGGGAATGTTGAGTGCTGAATGGATTTAAGAAATAAGAAGCAGAGTGGTCAAGAGTTGTTGGGAAAGTAATATGTGGGGTTCTGAGAGAAAAGGGTACATCTGACGTGAGTGGAAAGGTGGTAGGTAAATGAGTGGGAGGTATTTGCTTTGATGAGTACTTTTATTGAAGTACCGTGTAGTGTCCATGTTGGTGGTAAGGAATGTGTTTGTTTTTTTATGTATCCAAAAATAGTAAGTCTGTTTATCAAAACTTTATTTTTGTAAGAAAAGTGTAAGACTAACATAACTATTCTAGTAGGCATTGCTTTTCCTCATAATTCAAACAGTGACCTTGTGGTCAAATATAATCAGAGCCTTGATTTTTTCCATTTTCACTGATTAGATATAATAAACTGTATAGGCCCAAAACAAAGATGGCAAGATAATTATATTTTGTCTCCCCAGATAAGGTGTTGATGGAAGGGATCTAATGTTTTTTTTTATTTGCTAGATGCTTTGCTTATGTTATGTCTCTTAGTACTACACAATATAGCATAAAGTTAATATTGTAGCATCTGTAGTTAGACTGTCTGAATTCAAATCTCAACCTCTCCATATAAATATTAGACTTAGGCAAGTTTATAACTCTGGAAATTGTTTAGGTAATAATTTTTAAATATTTTTTAATAATTATGTAAAATATGTATCCAAAGTAAAATCTATAAAACTATATTTAAAGAAATCTAACTTCTATCCCTGTTTCTTCCTCTTATAGGGAAGCATTTAAGTTTTGTGGCTTTTTTTCCCTTTTATCCCTTATGTAGCAGATATAGATAGGTAGTAGGTAAATCAAATCTTCATCCTCTTTTTTAGATAAACATAGAATATTGAGTAACATTAGAGAAAAATTGTGGATAGGAAGCGCCAAAAATCCATTCCTCTGTAAAAGGGACTGTCAGAATCAATTTCACTGGACTCTAGAAAATAATCAAGGTCTTAGAGCAACCAAGTGAACAGTTAATCAAGAAAAATGAGCTGAGTTTTGGCATTTCAGGAAATCTTTGATGAATCACTAGCTGACCACTAAGCTATTGGAATAGAGAGTTCAGTGGCCACATATAAGAAAGAACACAAAATATACAAAACTAGTGCAGAAGTCATTTTAAAAATTATAGCAACAACACGAAGCAGCAAAAGCAATCTGGAAATTTGATTTTCCAAGTTATCACATACTCAAAATATCTAATTTTCAACAAGCATTGAATTACAAGTCATTACAGGACAAGCAGGAAACAAGAAAGTATGACCCATACATAGAAAAAAGTTAATAAACTGTCCATGAGGAAGCCCAGATATTGGACTTTATTAAAAACTTTTTATCAAGAATTTTACATATGTTCAAATTGCTTATAGAAACTATGAACAAAGAACAGAAGGAAGCCATGAGAACAATGCCCAATAGATAACTATCAATAGAGAGACAGAAATTATAAAAATGAGCCAGAAAAAAACTCTAGAGTTGAAGAGTACAGTAACAGATGAGACACTCACTGAAGAGGTTCAACAACGTATTTGAGCAGGTAGAAGAATCTGAACTTGAAGATTGGCCAATGGAGATTATTCAGACTGAAGAGCAGAAAGAGAAAATAAGGATGAACAGAGCCCAAGAGTCCCTTGGGACACTATCAAGCATACTAACATATGCATAATAGGAATCCCAGAAAAAGAGAAAAGAAAAGGGCAAAAAAAGTATATTTCAAAAAATAATGCCAAAAACTTCCAAGTTTCATGAAATACAGTAGTGTATAAGTGAGTCAAAGGTGACCTCTGTGTATTGGCTTCTAGGTTGTTTATTGCTGTAGGCTGAGACTCTTGGCTCAAAAACCCACCAGTGCCAACCTCAAAAGTTTACACATCCAATAATTTTGTAAAACAGTCCAAACAAGCAGATTCATGGCCATTTAGAGCTTGCCTGCTTTGCATACTCTGCACAATTGTTAGCTGCCTGATAATAGAGTGCCTTGCAGTTATAAGGTCCTAAGCTGCTGCTGCTGCTCAGAATTCTCTGATCTAGAAACTCCACAGTGTTGCTCACTGACATCTCTCAGGCATGTAAGTCTTCTCGGCAGCTCCCTAGGAATTCCCTTGCACTCTCCTTCTTGATGGTGGCCCCCTCCCCGTAGCCTCTG